AATCTCATGAGGGAAGAGGTCATGTTTTCTAACCCTTTGATTTTCTAAGACCAGAAGTTGTACATATCAGGTGCTCTAAATAGCACATGAATGAAAAATGTGGGGCTTTTGGTAAGGGGCTGGATGGGGGGTGGTGCTTGATGGGAAGATGTATGGGGGCACAGAAAATAATTCAGGTCTCAAGAGGAAGCCATCATTACCACCATATTCACACCATTCATAGTTGGTCAACACTGAATATTTTCATGCTGAGCTTTTATGGTCTTGGCTATAGGGTTAAAGATTTAAACTCAATGTTAAAGCCTACCCTTCTAGCTCCTTGAGGGCAAGCACCAGGCATACTACTTTTGTATTGTAACAGTGCCTGGCAGAGAGCCTAGGCCTGAATAAATGTTTGGGATACATTTGAACAGCTGAGTTTCCTTTCCTGAGGTCCAGCAACGTGACATTGGTCCACAATTTTACATGTGAACACAAAAACATTTTTCTTAAGGTGAGGGTAAGCTCATAGCTTATAATTACTTTTGACTGAATCTTAATCGTAACTATTGTGAACTCACTTTGGGCCAGACACTGGCCAGGCAATTTGCAGATGCTATTGTGTTGACTACCACCACTCTCTCAGGCACTCTTTCTCCTTAATTTTACCTATAACGAATTTGAAGCTCTCATTGTGTGCATGCAACTTGACACACATAGGCAGGAAGTGACTTTAGGTAGCATGATAGCATAATAGGTGCTCAGCACATGATAGTGATTGTGGTGAAAAGTGTATCTGGGCCTATTTGAGAGGCTGTGCAAGACAACTAAGAATCCCAAGGGCTTACCCAGTTCTGCCAGGTGAGTCAAAAGGTCTTGTACATCTATGCTGTCTTTTCAAGTAATATAGTTTATTCTGCATTATATGAAAAACACACAGTTTTGGGCCAATTAAGAACACAACTCTGTATAAGTTGAACACAGATATGTGTTTAGTTTGCTCTGAAAATGATTTCATTTCACTGAGGACATTTAATGAGCAACTTGGTAATATTTAAAAAAATCAGAACTAGAGATGTCACAGGACTAGGAGATTTGTAAAATAAAATTTTTTTTCTGTTCATTGCCATCTGGAAATATCAATCATATCTCCTGAAAATAACAAAACAGTAATAGTTCAAAATTCAGGCAGAATAACAGAATAAATAGTACTGAGCATTTGTAAGGCAAAATAGCCTCATTAATAGAGTTCAATGATGAATGGAAAGAATCGTGAGATGGTATGTGCTGCAATATGATTAATATAATGCAAACATAGTTTATTTTTACATATTATAACAACTCTGGACTAGCAGAGTAGCCAGGGCTCCCCAAAGAAACAGAACCAGTGGGATGTACACACACAGGCATATGTGTGTGTGTGTGTTTGTGTGTGTATACAGAGAGAGAGAGAGGGAGAGAGAGAGAGAGAGATTTATTTTAAGGAATTGGCTCATGTGATTGTGGGGGCTGGCAAATTTGAAATTTCTAGGGCTGGCCAGCAGTCTGGAAATTCTGGCAGGTGTTAATGCTACAGTCGTGAATCCAAAGGCGACCTGGAGGCACAATTCCTTTCTCCTAAGAGGACTTCAGTTTTTTTTCCTCTTAAGTTCTTTAATGGATTAGATGAGGTCCAGCCACATTCTGGAGTACAATCTGCTTCATTAAATGTTAATGATATCTCAAACATACCTTGACAGCAACATCTAGCCTGGTGTTTAACCAAGCAACTGAACACTATAGCCTAGCCAACTTGACACACAAACTTAACTGTCACAACTAGTGTATTCAAGCTGGGAGGAGTACACCTGTACTAAATTGGCAGGAATAATCTTTTTATATGTTTATTTATCTTTGACAGAGAGCATGAGTGTGGGAGGGGCAGAGAGAGAGGGAGACACAGAATCTGAAGCAGGCTCCAGACCCCCAGCTGTCAGCACAGAGCCAGACGTGGGGCTTGAACCCATGGACAGTGAGATCATGACCTGAGCCAAAGTCAGATGCTCAACTGACTGAGCCACCCAGGCACCCCGGCAGGGATAATAGAGACCATTTGTAGGATAAGTAGTCTAAGTTCAGGACAGCAAGGGGCCTTGGTGTGATAGTTGTTGAAAATTTCTGTGTATTTAACTTATTTAAATAAGAAGTAATTGATACGTGGCAAATTTCCCTTGATTTCATACGTATTATTAAAATAAGGCATTCCAGATGCAAATTGGTGCAGCCGCTCTGGAAAGCAGTGTGGAGGTTC